GCTAAAACATAAGACCCGGCCGAAGGCCGGGGGAAAGCTGGAGGGGGGTTTGGGGGCGAAGGCCCCAAAAAAATTTTTCCCACCCCATAAGAAAATCATTTTTCCCACCCCATAAGAAAATCCTGGATACGCCACTGCTATATAAAAAGAACATATAAGATAAGATCTTTTTATAATAAAATTTTCATGTATAATTATAATATGAATAAAATTATACAAAAATAATATATTATAAGATAACATCTTTATGTAACAATTTTTTATTTATTTTTAACAACAATTAATTTTCAAAATTTTGATCAGATAAACATGAGCGCTTAGTACTCAACACAGCTTTCGCCGTGCTAAACACACGTTCGATTGACGCAGAGATTGGGAGAGTGGTGTTATAATAAAAAAAAATTTCAATTCAAGGAATTTTTTAAAAATATTTAAGGAAATATCTTTATTTTGAAAAAAGCTTGAAAGATCATCTTCACAGAGATTTTCATTCATTTCCTCATCAAAATTTTTTTTATCGATATCTGAAAATATTCTAGTGTGTGTGTTGGATTAAGGAATCAAGCCTGTTCTTTCTTTATCAATATCTTTTCTCAAACTGGAAATAAGTTCCAGCATTCTTCCTTTATTGACCTCTAATTTTATCCAGGGCCAATCCAATTTAAATAGTGGGTGAATTATTGCCGATAGTATATATTCATCATCATAGATGTGTTTGAATCTAATGAAAATATGATAGTCAAAATATAAATTATAAGCAATATTTGAACTGCATACCTTTTATCTAGCGTTGGGACATGATTTACATTTACAAAGTGTAGACTTGGTACCATTAATTTTCTTAATTGGTTTAGAATATAATTCAAATTGGGGCCAGGGAAGGGTTAAATCCTCTTCATCTGAAGAAGTAAGTACTATGGACATAATATTCTTTTAAAATAAATTATAAATTAATAAATAATATCATTATATTTACTTTGAATTTTGATTGAATATTAATTTCGACTGATAATTTAACAACGAGAATTTTTAAAAAAATGTTGGAAATGGTTGATATAAATTAAAACTCGGCTTAAATTATTAATATTAAGAATTAAAAAATAAAAAATAAAAAAAATTTTTTTTATAATACAATAAAATGTTTTTCTTTTTATTGTTATTTTTTAAGAAAAAATATAAAGTAAAGAGTAAAGTAACGTTTTGCGTTACCGTTACTCAAAAAGAGAAACGCGTTACCTACTCGTTACCATTAGGTGAAGGTAACGAATGACGTTCCTTTTCAAAAAGTAAGGACGTTACTTTTTTGACGTTAGTACTGGTCATAATATATTTTTACAAGATAGGAGGTTTATTTCAATAAAAAAGTACGCCTAGAGAAAATATGGAGTATATTTTTAGTAGTTTATATAAAATATAATAAATTACTTGTATATACGTTAATATAAAAGCATGGTATTAATTTATTCCAAACAAGTATAAGAAATTTATTTATAAAAAGTAGACATATAGTTGATATTACTCTATTATAAAGAATTGGTTATAAAATACTAGGTGAAATTCCATTTTTACAGACATATTTGACAATATATTACAGTTAATATTTTAACAAATTCTACTAATCAATGTTTTTGATAATAAATATAGCAACCATTGCATTCATTTAGTTAACGCCATCTATTTATTATAAATAAAAATTGATATTAAAATTAATCTTCATATTATTCATTTCATAATGTCTTTAAAAGATAATTTCTGATGTCCTTATCAATATTTTATAGTTTTTTGTAAAATATATAATTCGCTATATTGGTATAAATTATTTGATTGTCATAAATGATAATTGAATTAAATATACTGTAAATCTAAGACATATAATATTCCACTGTTTGAATTGTGCTTTAATTTTTTTTATCTAATTTATGATTTAATTTTATCAATAGTTTTATGATTATATTTTACGTTTATTAAGATATATAAATTAAAATTACTCACTTTATAAAGAATTATATTTGATATATTATATTATTTAGTAATTTTATGGATCTATTATTAATAATTATAATACATTTCACTTTCGTCTTAAGACTTATCTTTGACTTATATTCCATTTCTTAAAAAACATTTTTGGTTCACCTTTTTATATATATAAATGCTTTTTTCCAAAAATGTATAAATTATGATGAATAGTTTTAGTTTAAAAAAATATCAACTTTTACATTCTTACTTTCGTAAAGATATATGCATACAATTTGGGGGGTCAGGGAGTAGGGGGAGGACTAAGGGGGATATTTTTTATTAGCTTAAAATTATAAATTTCTAAAGGGGGAGGGGGATTTCCCCTTGCCCCCCCCCCGGCTAAGCCTATTTTGTCGCTCCTGCAATGGTCGATTCATCAGACATACACAATGTAATTCAATCATCCAACGTGCCTTGAAAACAGCTCAAATACCATTCATACTAGAACCCCAGGGTGTTTATAGATCAGACGGTAAACGTCCTGACAAGATCACCCATATTCCGTGAAGGATAGGCCAATTATTGGTATGGGACTATTCATGCATTGACCCCCCTGGCCACAAACCCCAACGGGTCAACTTTAAATCTTAAAATACACAGATATTTCAAATGACCATTGTTTCATTCCTATCATTTCAACCACACTTGCCACCTTCGGTAAACTTGCCTTAGCATTCTTCAAAAATTTAGGATCACAAATAAGCAAACTCAGGTGAAGTTCAAGAGGGATTTTTCTTTGGCAAAGGTCATAACTATCCTTAAAGCCAATTATATCATCAATTAGTGTATTAGATAAAGAGCTATAATAGACCCCTTCTTTTTTTCCTCGCTTTATACCATCCCCGGTCTTTATTGTTATTTTTTAAATTTTTTGCACATATTTCTTTTGTCCCATTTTAACATAGATTATAATTATGCGCTCATATATACATTATTTGTTTTTGATTATATTAATTCAAAATTATTTATACTTTTTTTTTACTTTAAGAGAATTATGCTAAAGTACTCATAGATATTTAAATATATTTCAAGATCTTAAAAAATATATTAAAAAAATAATTAGATGTATAAGTATGGAGATTACAGTATGCTGCAAAAAAATATATTATATTATACTCAAGGTCAAAATACGCAGGAAGATGATGTGTAACGGTATATATTAGAAAAAGTGAATAAAAATGCTGAATGGGCAACGGATATTGAAATACGAAGTGTTGCCACATTTCTCAATACCCCGATAATGGTGTATGCTAAGTATGGTGCTTCATTTTGCTGAAAAATGTATCCGCCATTTAAATATGATGATGGATTATATATAAAAATATGACCAAATTATTCTGAATCCAATAATATTATTGATTTTGAAAATTAATTACAAATCTTGATATTTAATATTTTTACTAAAAGCATTTTAGTTGATTGTATGTCTAGTTTTTATGTATATTTGTTTATATTTATCCTATTTTGAGGATTATATTATATAAGCATATTTTAATCAATAAATATATAGACTACATATAGATATTGATCATGATTTTTTAGATACATTTCATTACAACAGCATATAACCAATTATTATGTTTACTTTAGATTAATTTCTATTGCTTATACAAATTTTTCCACATTTTAAAAATAAATTTGGTTTTTTTAAATCTGAATTAATCCTTTTTTTAATCATCAACTCAAGTTTGAAGTAATTTCAAAAAATTAAGGACAATTTTAGGTCAGTCCTTTATATAAGTAGCCAAACCGACTATGTCTAATTCAGACAGAAGAATGGACCACCTAACTAGAAACCCGGAAGAACCATAAGAAAATCTCAAGAAGTCAGTTAAGTATAAATATTTTCCAAATGGTTAATAAGAAAATTATATTAATTTTGGTAAATTAATTAAGAAGTGGAAGGTACCACTATGTAGTCAAGCATAGTAAAGAAAAGAGGAGTAAGAAGGTGATGATATATTACTTCCGTTGCCTGCAGAATAGTGTTAAAAAATTGTAAGGTCATGTAATAAAGCCATAACAATGATAATAATGTACCTGATGCCTGGTTAGATTATTTAAGAGAAGAAAATAATTCTGATATTTTGGTAAATATTTTTTCTTGAAAGTTAACGTTATATATGTTCCATCTAAAATCCCTATAATTGTAAAGTTGGTCCCTGAATAACATTATGATTTTTAATCTAATAATTAATTATGTAGAGTGAAAAGAGGTAACTTATGTCCTAAAACTCAACAAAAAAGTTTTGTAACTCAGAAGATATGAATTAACAGACTCCTTGAGTGGGTTATCAGTTAAGGAGAATATATATAGGACTAAAATATATTTAATATTAAATTTAATTAAGAATAAATTAGAAAAATTTGCTTTATGCTAAGAGGTTTTAGGCTAGGGTGTTAGTAAAAAATTAATAAATGTTTATTTATTTATTATTAAAATGATTGATATTTATAATATTGACCTTAGCCTTTAATGAAAATTTTGGATCACCTTTTAATTAATATAATTTTTAGTTAAACTATACTTAGGTTTTTATCAACCTATTTTAATTGAAATGCCTAGAGAGATAATTTTTAAACATAGTGAAGAAAAAACACTTATAGTTTATTCTTACAATGAATTAATTTAACCTATTAGGTGATTTTGAGTTATAATTTCTGTTTAATAATAAGATCTATTAGTTTATATTGGTCACTTCCAATTAGAAGTCCAATGTGAGAATAATTTAATAAGGTGATTAAGGAAAAAATAATACATAAGGAATTGAGTTAATTAAGAATCTAAAGTTTAGATGGGGGAAAAAAAGGGAAACAACTTATTTTCAAATAATAATTTAGATTTTAAAGATGATAATGCTACATAGTTTGTTCCATTGATTTTAAGTTATAATAGGTTTAAATTAATAAGATTTATTAGGTTATATTAATCATTTCCAGGTAAAAGTTTATTTTAGTCAAGAAATTAAGAATCATCCCTTGACCCATAATCTAAATTTACATACAACACATCTTCATTTAAATAGACTTTTGTTCCATATAAAGATACTAGTTACTAGTATCGATGATGAATAGTTAAATAATCGAGATTTCTAAAACAAAAAAATTGTATCATTAAATTAATTTACTTAAGACATATCCTTGTACATTATTATGTACCACATCGCTTTCATTATCGTAATCAACTAATCCGACATATAAATTATTTTAGTAAATATTGCATGCAGGTAATTTTGAAATCCTCCATTTTCCGGATGTTCCTAAATTGGTTTTTTTAAAAAAAAATATTATAAGTGTGAAATTATTTAACTTCGTTAATATATTTTCGAAACTTTTTATCAACTCGGAAAATGCGTATAAATAAAAAAAAATATAGCTTTTATTTCTTGCTAATAGGGAATTTGGCGTAAGTCTATCATCTCCCCCAGATTAGGCATTACACCTTACGTAATTATAATAAAAATGTATCTTGCAGAAATTATATCTATACTTAGATATATTTCCAAAAAAGAAGTATCTGTGTGCATTACATTTGTAAAAAATTATCTAGGTCAGATCCATGTTTAGAATATGGTTATGTATCTAGATCCATTTTTAAACGATATCTGTATCTAGATTTATTTGAAAAGTACAACTAATATAACTATATATAAACTGATGAAAAATATCCATACGAAAGAAGCATACGCTTTTCTTTCTTAATATATGCTTAAACATAGGCCTTACTCTAAATAAAGCTAAATCTGAAATATGCTTTTTAAATTCAAATATTCTCGAAGTCCAAGGGTTTAAAATCATTTAAAAAAGTAAAATTAATCTTCTAGGTTCACCTTTAAGCAGTTTTTTCTGTGTGTTCGTGGAAAATTTTTTCGAAGGCTTAATAGGACTTGAAACTATTTTAAAAGAAATTCCTTCACACCAGAGCTTTTTTCTTTTAAAAAAATATTTATTTTTACCAAAGATTTTACATTTTTTAGATATTCTTCCTTTTTTTTAAATAATGAAATTATTAATCGTGTTCATGAATTTTTTAGAAGTTTATTAGAAAATATTTTAAATATTAAGTTGGAAGATTTTAATTGGGGTTTCTCACAATTACCCTCAAAAATGGGTGGTTTAGATTTATATCCTTTAAATCTTATATCTCTTTCCTCATTTTTGGCATCGCGTTTGATGAATAACGCCATGATATCTTCTTTTATCTCTCCTAAAGATAACCTTTTAAACTCAGCCTTGACAGCCTGAGTATCCTTAGCTCCACCTGAAGCTGTTTTACCCGCAATCTTAACTCACCAATCTATTTTCGAACCTTTAATTAAAAATTTTTTTAAAATAATCTCATCAAACCCCCCTTTGGAGTATATTCAACTATTACAGAATGACTGTACTATTGGTTATAAATGGTTGGAAGCATTACCAAGTCGTAACCTAGGTAACCTCTTATCAGATGAACAACTAAGAGTTGCCATAGGCCATCGATTTGGATGTAACATTGTTCAACCACATACATATCAAATGTAAAATATTAGTTGACTCCAAAGGTAGACATGGTCTAAATTGTATATATAGTCAAGGCAGGCATGCAAGGCATGCAGCAATTAATTTAACTATTAGCCGTTCTCTTACCAGGGCCCGAATACCAAACATCCTGAAGCCTACAAATTTATCATTAGATGATGGCTTAAGACCAGATGGCTTAACTTCCGTGCCTTGGTCTTTAGGGAAATCCTTAATTTGGGACTTCACATGCGTATCTTCTTTCCCAAAAAATTTAAATTCTAATCCGATTGTTATAGCCGAGAAAAAAAAACAATGAAATATTTCAAATTCACAAATTATATTTTTACACCGATCGTTAACTCTTCCCTTGGACATATGCTAAGCGGAACTTTAAAATTCTTAAAAAATATAGGCGATAAGATAAGAGCCCTTACATCAGAACCAAAAGAATACTATTTTTTAAAACAAAACCTACAAATAACTATTTTAAAATATAACTATTCATGTTTTTTGGGAACTTGTAGTCCCACCTCCGTTTTTATAAAATAATGTTTTATTTTATTTTGATATATTGTTATCTATGTTTTATTTTGTTAATAAATAGGGTTTATTTGCAAAAAAATAATAAATATATTATGTGATTTATATACCGGTTTATATAACTCAGAGACATGTAGCGGGCCCGGCCATATTTTAATTTTTTAAAATATACCCGGGCCTGTTCTAAATTTTTTTAAAAAAAAACATAGGCCGGGCTATATATTTTATAACAGAATATTTTAAATCCCATTATTAGCTATAAAAATTAATAATAAATATAATATATTTCAAAAAAATTCGGGCCGAACCGGGCCTAAAAATATAAAACCCGAGCCAGGCCAAAAAAATTAAAATGGGTCGGAAAAATCAATCATGGCCGGGCCGTGCAAATAGTACCTCTGCAAGTTTCTGATAACTATAACTTTTTTAAAACTAATTCGCTTTTAAATATTTTGTTTTTTTATTATTTGCGTTTGAAAGTGGCATATTTTAAAATATGATTGGTTCTAATAAATTTTATATGATTATTAGTTCTAATAAGTTTTTCATATTCCAAAAAAAGTTAATTTAAAATATTATACCCTCCCCCTCCCCTCCCTCCACTTTCCCTCTCTCTTTAGAAAAAAACCCAACTATACGCTTGCTTTTATTTTCCTAAAGGGGATTTTGACTTTTTTTTATTTACAAGGCATAACTTAGACATTTTATTTTATTAAAAACTAAATGCAATTTTTACCCTTGTTGATAAAATTTATTCTTCTTTTATATTTTTTTTAAACAATTAAAATCTTAATATTTTATATATTAATTTTTTAAAAGTCGTGGAACTGGAATTAATTTAAATTTAAACAAGATTTAAATAATTAACTTATTTTTTAAGGAAAAAACATAATAATAATTTTTTTATATAAAAAGCAATATACGTGATACGTGATAAAGCGCATTCGCCCTCTCAACGTTGTGGGAACAACAGAGCTACGCTAGGTTTTTCTCATTTCCATCTAACTGGATTATTAAAGTTATCGGGGAAGAAAATATGAGAAGCCCTTTACACGTTTGTGGGCAAGCCGCACGTACTTGTACGCACAATAGTCCGAGGACTATCATTTAAACGTCTTTGGGCTGATTAAGAGGGAAAGGGCTAAAAAGACAGCCCATACCCATATCTATAATCCTATTTGTATCTAATCATTATTGGAAAGGGGGAGGCTGCCTTAAGTTAATATTTAGCGAGTCATTTTTAATAAAATGTTATTAAATAAGAGAAAAGAAACCTGTACTATAAAGATATTCAGTATATATAGGGGGAGAAAGGTTTGGTAACGGATGAGGAATTTTCATCTTAGGTACCTAGATTTAATCTTAAGAAGCTTTTTGATAGAATTTTTATTGTTATTCAATCTAACGAACTGTTTCCAGTTTATATTCAGATCAGCAACATCTTTCAAAACGCGGTGAAACCATAACGTCTTATATCCGCTGTATGATTTACCTCTATAGGTAAAGAGCCAAGTTAAAGCGTCATGAACCAGATTACTGTTAGGATGTCTTAAATGTGGGCTAAAAATTGAATTCGTTTTTTCTTGAGTATGATGTGGAACGGAGTGTGTTTCGATTGTCTCCATAATCTTTCGTTCGTTATGAGACTAGGGTAGAAGACGACGTTAATTATCCTTAAGCACTTGTTAATAAACGTCTGGCATTTTCTGTTGTCTGCTTTAGTGATTTCCCATGTTTCACAACCATATAATAGAACAGGAATCACCGTTGAATTAAAGATGCGTAGTCTAGTGAAGGTAGGAATCTCTCTCGTCTTCCAAAGTGAAATACTTATAGAAAGCTGCCCTGGCTTTTTGTAATCTTAACCTGAGTTCCTCTTTACATCCCCCTCTATTATCTAAGGTAATTCCAAGATATTTTATTTGAGTAACCACCTTGATCGTCTCAGATCAGATATTAATATTCTCTATAGGAGGCGTGTGTCTTGCTAAGAGAATCAGTTTTCTTAAAATTTATTTCTAACCCAACTTTCAAGCTTAACAGTTTCAACAATTGAATGAGATTCACGGTTTCCTCAAGGTCCTTTTTAATGATTACCACATCATCAGCGTAGGAAATAATTCTATTCTCTAGATGAAACGTATTACTCATTGATGTGTTAAGTTCCAGTAGATTAGCCGCGCCCAATGTGTCTTTTAGAATTTTGTTCATTACTATGTTAAAGAGGACTGGCGAAAGGACGCAGCCTTGTTTTACTCCTTTCCTAATCCTAAATGGTGGAGAAACTTAATTGTTTACTCTGCACGTGGTAAACAGATTATTATAGTGGTGTCGTAAAATCTTGATAATATTTGGGTCAATTCCAACCACTGATAATGTTTTCCAGAGTGCATCATGGTTGACATTATCAAACGCCTGTTTAAAATCGATAAAGGTGAAGTAGAAGGGTAGCTTATACCTATCAAATTTTTGGATGATAATTTTGAGAGCAAGAAAGGGCTCCATGATATTTTTGCCTGGGCGATAAGCGCAAATATATTTGGCAAAGAGGTTTTGTGATGTTTACAGAATACGAATCTTGAGGAGGGCCATAAAGACCTTAGATGCCGTAGAGGTGAGTGCTATTGCCCTATAGTCACCGAATTTAGTGAGATTTGAGATTTTGGGGAAGTTGCAAAGGGTGGAAAGATTCCAATCCTTTGGTATCAACCCTGTAGACCAGATTTTATTGAAGATAATTTGCAAAAAGCGTGGTACAGCAGTTGTTGTCGCTTTGAGATGTTCACTAGTAATATTATCTGGGCCAGGGGCTTTATGGTTTCCAAGTTTTTTAAGTGCAGTGGAAATCTTAATTAGTGAGAATTGTGGGGTGGATTGAGGAGTATCTTGCAATTTCGGTGGTGTATTTATTGGTCTCCTAGATTCAAAGATCCTCATGTAATAATCAGTCCAGAGTACCAACTGATCATCCTGGTCAATTATGATTCTGTTATTTTCCAGACGAATGATAGGAAGTTTTTCGAAGGTTTTTGATTTGCAAAAATATTTAAGTTTGCTATAAGCGTCAAAAAGTCTATTTCCTCTCATATCTGCATCGATTTCGCAAGCTTTCCTGACAGTGAAGATCCTTCTGTCGCTTCTTAGAGATCTCTGTATTGACTTCCAAAGTTCCCTATCAAAGTGGCCATTTAAACGCAGCTCCTCAATTTTTTCCATAGTTGCCGTGGATATCCAATCATTTCTCGCGAGAGGGTTATTTCTTCCTAAAACCTCGCTAGCTTCGTGAATGTCATTTTTGAAAATCATCCAGCATTCTTCCACAGTTTTGGACCGGGATATGCTTTCAAAATTCATTGCATTCTCGCATAATCTTCGGTCGAAGAGCTCTTTAATCTCTGGTACCTGTAGATTATTGATATTTTGCTTTCTGAGTAGATTTGCCGATTGGTTAGAGGTGTTATTTGGTCCAATTGAGGTACTCCATATGTTCCTTATCAGGATCTTGGCTTTGACCATTTTATGGTCAGAAAGATTTACACTCGTCATGGCCATTACATCTTCAAACCAGCCGTGGACGTTTGAAATAAAAAAATCTATTTGCTATTTGTAATTTCCCCTTTTAATTATTCTCTCTATGATAGAAGAAAGTATTTTCTTACTGTCGTCTCCATTAGGCTGAGCAAGGGCTGCATTTCCAATAATGTTGTTCCTTTTATAAATCTCCTCCGAACCAATCCTGGTATTTAGATCGCCCATCAAAATTATGTTGTATCTTCTGGGTAAAGCGTTAATTATATTTTCCAGATCGTCGAGAAAAAGTAATCTATCTCTCCTGTTTGGGGGTGCATACATTCACCAGTATTGTTGGCCTAAAATTTGTGTTGATATATAATAACCCACATCTCTCTGAAATAGGTGTAAACTTATTTATATGGCTGTATATTTTCTTGTTTATCAAAAATCCAACACCTGACCAACTGTTAGAGGTAGTACCAGAGCAGTATAAAATAAAGTGATTAAAGGTTGCAGTAACGCTGTCTCGGTTAGGGTCTCCTATAGAGCAATTATGTCTATTTTCTCGTCTGCCATTAATCTTAGTAAAATAGCTAGTTTATTCCATAGGCCATTAATATTTAGTGAAGAAATAAGTAGCTGTCCCTTAAGATTATGCATATTTCTGCTATAATTATTCTCCCTTAATTCAATAGAAAATTCTCTAAATCCGGGTGTTTGGGTAAACAGTAAGATAAAAAATAAATATAAATAAAACTACAAAACAAAAAAATTATAATTTCTAAGGAATTTAAATTTTTAGAGTAACAATTAATGAATAAAGTAATTGTCGGGATATCAGATCTTATAGAAAATGGGAAAATTTGTCTATGATATCTAAATCCTTTACTCCTGATATATCTAAGAAACACTTATTGGTTTTAACTCATTTATATAAGAGGGATGCCCTATTTATTTGCCGGTGAAATATTCCTAGAGGAAACAGAAATTAAGAAAAAGGTACAAAGGTAGCAATAAATAAAACAAGTAAGTAGAGCAGGAAAGATATAATACCAAATATTTATGAGAGGGAGAAACTAATTTTATACATGATTGACCATTACTAGCCAAGGTTAATTATAATTCGAAAAGTGGGGGCTAAAGGTTTTCTGCTCATCCTGCAAGATCAGGGGAAAGGTGTGGACACCAAATGGGTGATTTGAGGGGAGTGGACAAAGGGTATGATCATTCTCTTAGTATATTTTAAACCAAGAAAATTTATTGTATAATGTGAAACTAATGAAAATTAATAAGACACAAATTAAAATAAAAAATATGTTACCCCAGTTTACGGTATACTCTCGTGAATACAGGTTTGTTAAAATTAAAATATAAGATCGTGTTGGGAGTGATAAAGAAAAATTAGCCACAGTAAATTAGATTTAAGTATAATCAAGCACTAAAATAATAATATGAAAGGTAGAAAAGAAATCAGTGAAAGGCTTAGGAATATGTGGGTGGGATTCCCTACGTCTAAAACTTCCTTTTAATTTTAATAAAAGCTACTGTCACACATCAATGTTTTAATAAACTATTTAATAAATCAAATTTGAGGGAAATATCCCCTCTACTCAAATACAAACATTAAAAGTGTAATGGCATAAAGTATAGAGTATTAATAATAAGATGTGTGAAACTCTTAAAGATTTCATAAAACAAATAGGAGTGTAGAAAATTGAAAATAATAATAATAAAATAAAGAAAATGTAAAATTCAAAATTTCTGGCGCCGAATGTATGAAAATAATATTTGAGAGAAAAAAATTACCTATAATCATTGCCTAGTCGGCGCCTAACACAATTAATAAAATTATTTGATAAGTAAAAGGGAAGTAAAATATATATGTTGAAAAATCAGAAAAGTATAACTTATATATAAGTGCATATTTCATAAAAGGAAACAAGAGAAAACATTATGAGACAAGAAAAAGAGAAAAGAAAATTGAAAAATTTTATATTTTATAAACAGAAAATGTGCATATTTCTTAACAGAAAAACAAAAGAACAATATGTATATTTCATAAAAAAACAAATATTAATCAGGCGGCGCCTAAAGAATTAGCAATAAAAATTTGAAAGAAAATGCGCCGAACAGCGTAATACAATGACAAATAAATGTAACGCTAAGCTATAAAACTACTTCTAAAACCTCCAAGAAAGTGAATAGTAAAAGCAATATACACAGGGAAAACATACTTAATAAAATTACTAATTAATGTAAAGTTAAGCTATCTAACTACTTCTAAAACCTCTAAGAAAGTAATAAAAGGGAAAGCAAGTTAATTACTTCTAAAACCTTCAAGAAAGTAATAAAAGAGAAAGCAAGTTATACACAGAGAAAACATATTATACACTGCACTGGGAATTATTATATATAAATATAATGTATGAGAAAGGGTTCATATTGGAGTTGGTATATTTAAAACTTAACCAGAAGAACTGAAGTTTAAAATTACACTAAATATATGAATAATGTAATATATTATCTAAGAGAAGACTGAATATAAAACTGAAAAATTAAACCTAAACATAATTGTTACAAATTTTCTATTGATTAAACAAATATCTATAGTAAGAAATACATATGCTGTTTAAAATCAAATTAATAATATATATAATGTAATATAAATAAATTAATATATATATATATATAATATAATGCACATATGATGTTAAAAACCAAAATTCATATATATCATATAAATTGATATCTTATTATCAACGTAATGTAATAATTTATATTAACAAAAATCTAAAAACTAGTAAAAGTATTAAAATTGATAAAAATATACTTGTTTTTATAAGCCAAAAAATACTGCTTGTTTTTATATGCTAGAAATAATACTAAAAACTAATAAAATATTCAAAAATGATTGACATGAAGCTGAAAACATTTAATGCTAATAGAATAAGTTATATATATATATATACTGTTATTTAAATAATATATATAATGTAGTGTATATATTTAATGTTAAGAAGTCAAAACATCATTGATTTAGATAATTATCCAAATTTAACTAATATATATAATGTAGTATATATAAAAGTTGGGAAGTCAAAAATCATTGATTAAGAAAGGTTAATATAAGATTTAGGTAAGATAACATATAATTAATGCTATAATATGCTAGATAAGATGAACTTATTGTGTGAAGTTGAAAGAAAATTTACAAAAGATAACATACAATTAATGTTATAATATGCTAAATAATATGAACTTATTATGTGAAGCTGAAAGAAAAACAGATAAAAGAGCTAATAATTGATATGATAAATGTATGTTTATAAAAATAAATTTGTTATATTGAGATTAAACCTGCTTTAAAACTATTCAAAGTATTAAGATTGACAAAATATACTTGTAATATGTCGATTAAAACTAATTTAAGATACACATGTATAAAATATAGTTGTAATATGTAGATTAAAACCTATTTTAACTAATAGGGTATTAAGGCAATATTAAGTCAATACCAGACTGACATACATGGAGCTAAAACCTACTTGAGATTGATAAAAAATTAAGGTAAGAGAATAATATAGTAATGAGGGAAAAAACAATAAAGTATATTAAGGCAAAACATTTTAAGAAATTTTAAAATTGATAGAATATAACTTTGATAAAATATAACAAGGTAAAGACAAATTACTGACATATTACCTAACCAGAGAATATGAGTATATATAATCTTAGATTAAGGCTAACTTTGTGCTACATTATGATTAATAGATAAAAAGATAAAAGGAAGAAAAATATACCTGTTTTGAGAAGACTAATTAAGACTTGGACACCAATTAGAAAATAGGTTTTAAAAGCAAAAAAATTCTGACCTATTCCAAATCTACTTTACTTTACTATTCTTGAGATATTAGTTGTCCTTCTAAGAAACGCTTCACGATCTCGACTTCTTGAGATATTAGTTGTCCTTCTAAGAAACGCTTCACGATTTTTAACGGAAAAGGGAATATTATATATTATAATCCTTTATCAATATTTTATAATCCTCCAGTTTGTACGAAACATAAAACTTAATAATATAATCCAAAAATTATGAATAGAACAAAAACATAAATATTAGAATAATCCACACAAAGTAAAACATAAGTTAACATAATAAAAATCCATCACAACACCCTCTTTCTTGACTTGATTTATTACTATCGGGCCATTTAACCAGGGTTTAACATACCTTAAACTTCTTCTTGCGCCGATAATAATGCATTATTGTTATTCGTCAATATTGCTGTCGGACAACACCTCATTACATGATTGCCTCCAAAAGACCAGCAAGATATCTTTCTTCTTTTATCCCAATCCTGTTTCCTTCTTCTGTCTGAGTACGGAAGTCTTGGAGTATCTTAAATCGTTTTTACATATCGCTGTTGAGCCTCTTCTTGCGGTATTCATTAATCTTTTAGATTCAGCTGATCCAACCACTTCTCTGATTTCCATCTTTATTATTTTGTTACCTCTTCTAAAATAGGAGGCCATCTACAAAAGAATTAACCTATATATATATTCTTTCTCCTTATTTCTCTCTTATCTCCCTGAACACCAACTTCCTAAATTTTTCATAATCTTCCCAACATACGTTGTGAAAAACAACAAAATTATGATTCTCATAATTCTAGCATAGCTTGTTAAAAAACAAATCAATTATTTCTATCATCAATTTTAAAACACGTTGCTATTCTTGTCCTACCAATCATCTGGGTATTCTTTCCATTTTTTTTACTGTCAAAACAACAGACAATCCTTCTTTTTCAATAATTGAATATTTTTTTTCAGCTCCAGCCCATGCCTTAGACATAAACTCAATTGGCCTTTCTAAACCATCTTCTTCTACCTGAAATAAGACTGCACCCATGCCTTTATTGGACGCATCCGTTGAAATAAACAATTCCTTATTTCTATCATAATGTGCAAGAATTGGTACATTACACAATTTTTCTCTAATTTCGTAAAAACTAGTTCTTTCATTGATACCCCAACAAAATTTATTACCCCTTTTAAGTAAATCATATAAATTAGCTGCTAATTTAGAAAAATCTCTTATAAATCTAGAATAATAATTCATAAGACCCAACCATTGGCGTACGCAGCGGGGGGAGGGCAGGGGGACAAATCCCCCCACCCAAAAAAGCCAAAAAATGCAGATGCCGGATATATTTTTCAAAAATATTATTGTTTATATTAATTTATATTTGTTAATATTTATTCGTATCTCATATTAAATATATATTTAATTACATTTATTATCACATTTATCTACTAAGTTATTTTATCAATTAATTTCGATTTCAAGTTTTCCGGCGTAATATTTACTTATTATTTTCAAATTTTTAGTGGCGTAATATTTATCTACCATTTTCAAATTTCTAGTCAAATAATTATTATTTCTGAAACTTCTTGTCCAACAGGGAAAAAGAAATTGCAACCTTGTCCAACGAGATAGAGTCTCTGCCATCAAGCAGTAACAGCTTTTAAGGAGTTAGAAGAGCCAATTATTTGCTATTACTAAAATATCACAATGGCCTGAAAGAAATATTTCCTCAGAAGCAAGAAAATTATTGGATTCAATGCTTATTCCAAATTTTATTTCTCATTAGAATGTATTATTTAATTATACAACTATTTTAAGTATTACTTTTCAAAAACATGACATTGACTTGATTAAGAAGATGAGAATAGCGGAGAGCATTTTATCAGAACTCAAGGAAATTAGGGCTAATGTTAATGAAGAATTTCATATTTTATTGTTGAGTCAAAAGCAGAGCTATACGTGTTTAATATTTTGCTCCATCGACTTGTAGCAAGGCAAGCTCATCGTTAAAACATTAATATAGGATAAGTAGAAGAGTATATCTTAAATACAGATACATTTATAACCCAAATAAATGAATTTTTAATTCATCATGCAGCATTTACTAATCTGCAAATATTACTTCCACAAAAGCCTTCCCAACCTTTTTCCGATGCTGATAGAAAAAAAAATATTTATTAGATTTTTATTATGAAGATGTTAAAGTATCTTATGACTTACTAGCTGAATAACTATGTTTATAAGATTAACAATGGTTGATATAGTCCCAAAAAATGCCATGAATGCTCGGCATTATTTCAAACACATTTTAAATTAAATTCCCTATATATTAAAAGGGTTTATAAACTCTTCCCATTAGTAAACTAATGAGAAAACATTCTCTTTTTTAAGAAGAATAACAGAGGACTGCAGAAGTACCATTTTCAGGGCACGGCCCTGATGGCTTTTTAAAAAAAATTAGGCCCGACTCGGCTTTTTTTTAAAAATTTTCAGGCCCGGCCCGGCTTTTTTTAAATAAAATTTTCAGGCCCGGCTTGGGTGTTTTTTTAAAAAAATTTGGGCCCGGCCTGGGTATATTTAAAAATATTAAAATACTGTCCAGCCCGGGGGCCGGGCCTGCAGGTCTCTGAAAAACGTACCAAGAAGTACAACATCTGAAAGTAGATTGAAAGGTTTGGATCTTTTGAATATTCATAGGCATTTGACGACAAGCAAGGATGAGATAATTGAAAAATTAGCTCAATCACAACGAAGATTGGATTGTAAATATATAACATATAAAATGCAATTATTCCTAAGAAACTTTTTGTGTAATGGCTCAAAAAATTCAAATTTATATTTTGGGTCATTTAAGTGATTCTTTACATATAATTTTTTTATAATTCACATAAATTTAAAATTGTGTATTATAAATAGTTATTTGTCCTAATAAATTTATGCCTGATATTTTTAAAAAACAATAATATTTCTTAAAATAATTTATTATCCCCCCCCCCCAGACCAAATTCCTGCGTACGCGCCTGATGGGATGAATATGAAGATGGATATGTACACTGGGCTTATAAAGGGTGGGCGTGTTGCAGTTGTTCAAAATTACAATTAAATAATTAAAATAATAATATGTTAATTTTGTTAATTTGTTTTTATTTTTATATAAATGTTCATTATTGAGATTTTTGATTTTAAAAGAATAAAATTTATCGTATCTGGAAGTGTAAAATTTTTGTTCGGTGAAAAACTAGCTAAGGAATTAATATTAATTTAATCAATTTTAAAAAATTGATTGCATATAAGAAAATTAATAAGCTTAATACTAATATATATAATATATTAATTATTGTTTTTTTTTACTAATATCCTTTTATATATGGTGAAATCTTAAGGTCCCTGGTATAATTTTTCTTTTTACTTTCCTCACTCCGGCACTACTTATCAAAGTCGTGGTACTGAATGGAACGAATTAAATTTAAAGAAGATTTAAATAATTAACTACAAAATAATTAAATCAATTTAAACTTTATTTTTTAAGAAAAAAAATATAAATGATAATTTTTTATATAAAAAGCAATTTATATAGTATAATCCTTTATCAACATTTGCATAGTCCACCAATTTGTCGGAACATAAAATTTAATAATATAATCCAAAAAATTATGAATAAAACAAAAACATTAAATTAAAAATCCAGAGTAAAAGATAAAATTAACATAATAAAAATCCATTGTTAATTTTAAAAATGATATAACTTGACCTTCTAAAATTTTTAATTATAATTGAATACTTATATTTATTTATATTATTTATTCAATTTTATGATATTTTAGTAATTAATTAAGATATGATATAAAATCACATGAAAAAATATAATAAATTTCTAATTTAGAATTATAGATGCGTCTCATCCTTTCCTAACAATTATAAACTGCAACCTGCTTACAGTAGCAGAGACCAAAAAAGTCAAAAATTATAAAAACCTGGAAATTTTATATCTTCACAATTAGTAATCGTTACCTTCCCTAACAGACAGTTTACGCCGATCACTTTTGCTTTGTTAAAATTTAGCTCACAAAATAAAAATATAAAAATAGACAGATATATAATTAAATATTTTTAAATTTAACTATTGTTCGTTTTGGGAACACAATTATGTTTTTCTTAATATTTTTTTTTTACTATTATTATCTTTTGATTCGTAAATGATTGTATAATAATATTTTATAAATATTTGATTTAACCCCTCGAATTAATAAAAAAAGGTCTCTTGCTCTTTTGGTTAATTTAAAACATATTCATATATAATTAAAAAACAAACATAAACATAATAAAAATAGTGTTGTTAAAAGTTACTTTGAAATATAACTAGTTACAAGCATTGGTAAAAATATAACTAGTTATTAGTTACAGTTATATTTCAAAAGTAACTAGTTATATAATAAGTTACTTTATAGATCATTTATAAACTCATTATTTATTTATTGAATGCATTTATTTAATATAAAATAATTAGGATATAATAATTATAATAAATTATTTGAAAAAATATACAATTTATTTATATAAAAAAATAATTAAACCGAAAAAAAATATCGGAAAATAGAATATATTTATTAGAGACCTGCAGGCCCGGCTCTAAGTCCGGTCTGGGTACACAGGTCGGGATGTATAAAAATAATTTCAGGCCAGGCCGTATATTTTAAAACCAAATATTTTAAATAGCGATTATTAGCTATAGAAATTGTTGCATGTTCGCTTAATTTGTTGTAATTGTATATTTAAATATGTTCATATTACCTTTTTATTCAATGAAATTAACATGTACATAAATACATCTCAAGGCGATTAAACATATATATATTGATATATATTTTCATTTTCTAATACAATTTATTTTATTTTGATAACCATATTATTAAATAAAAAGACCACTTGTTTAACCATATTATCAAATAAAAAGACCACATCACACACAATTTATTCTATAGTAATTATTCTTGTTCAATATTCCTCCTTAATTATGCAATACAATCACACACAATTTATGCTATAGCATTTATTCTTGTTCAATATTCCTCCTTAATTATGCAATACAATCACACACAATTTATTCTATAGTATTTATTCTTGTTCATTATGGTGGAGGGTAGGAATCATATCAAAATCAAAGTTCTATTGAAAACATTGGATCTGAAATTTTTAGCCGAAAATATTGTTGATGAGGCAACTAAGAAATACAAACTGTTCGAAACAATTGACAAAGATATGACTGTTAATATTATGGACAACATAGATAACTTATCGTATCAACAGATGAAAGATTTAATACAAAAAAAAGTTAAAAAAAACAAGATTACGCGCATATTTGAATTATTCAATACAAAACCGGACAGACTTGAGTGAGAGTATCTCGATAGACTGAAAGGGTATGGTTCGGGGCTCAATCCTGAATTTTTGTCGGTGCAATTTATGCTGAATTGTCGTAATGAAAAGTTAAAAACAAGGTTGATAGAAGAAAATACTACAGAGCTTAATATTATAGAGAACATTGTTGTTAAATTTCAATCGTTGGAGATTAATAATAATAAAACATATGTAGAGAAAGATTCTTGGAGAAGAGAAAATAGAGCCGATTGGCAAGGCTATTTTCTTGGAAAGAGAACAAGCAGGATTTTAAGGCCAACACCAACAACAACAATAACAACAACAACAATTTCAAAAAACAAGAAATGATACAAATGCCATATAATTTGAGGCCAAGGAATAAGATAAATTTTATTAATGATTTTATGATTAATATGCAACTTAATAATCTAAAGTTTTCTTTTTTGATAGATACGGGTTCTCCGGTGACATCCTTGCCCATTAAAGATTTTGAAAAATTGGAGAATTATGAAGAATTTGAGTTGGAAAATTGTTCTAAAAAATTATTCTCTTATGAGGGTACTCCTATCACAGTCGTTGGTCAGGTCTCGAATATTAAGGTTAAATATTTGAATACAATTAAATATTTAAATTTGTATGTATTGGATGGGGAGGGACCACCGCTATGTGGTCAAGACTGGATTAAAGAATTTGACATAATCAAATTCAACGTTGATGTAAACACTATTAATAAGAATGAGATAGGAGATAAGGTAAATTTTTTAACTTTTAACAATCCTTTCAAAGATACTGATAAATTTTATAAAAAAAAATTATGTCATTCAATCGTTATTTACTAAAAAAGGGTGTTTTGAAGAGAGTTGTGACATCAGCAAACTAATTAAGAAATTTGATTGTGTTTTTAATGATAGAATTGGAAATCAAAAATTTGGAAATAGACATTTTATTAAAAAATGACTTTAAGCCAAAATTTGTGAAGGCCAGGAGAGTGCCCTTCGAGTTAGAAGAAGAAGAAGAATTAGAAAACACTATAAAGCAATGGCGCCAGCAGGGAGTAATTAAGCCTGTCAGATTTTCACAATAGACCACTCCATTAGTGTTAGTTAAAAAAAAGATAATACGTTGAGAGTTTGTGCTGAGAGTTAGTGTAAACCAACAATTAGAAAGGTTCGAATATCCGCTTCCAAGGATTAATGACATAATTGCTAAAGTAGGTAATGGAAAGTTTTTATCAAAAATAGATTTCTCATCGGCGTATCTGCAGATTCCTGTATCTAAAGAAACTTCCAAATTTTTGACCGTCTCCACCCACAAAGGTCTTTTTCAATTTAATAGACTACCTATTGGGCTTACAGTATCAACGGCTTATTTCTAGAAGACTATGGACAAAATATTTGCTGATATTAAGGGGGTCATTTATTATTTAGATGGTTTTGTAATTTTTGGTAAAGATAAGTTAGACCATTTTTATAAATTGAAAAGAGTGTTTGAAAGAATGGTGGAATTTGGGCTGATTGGAAATATAAAAAAAAGTGAGTTTTACAAAGAGAGTATAAAGGTTATTTAATAAGTGACAAAGGCATATTGCCAATCAAAGAAAAAATTGATCTACTATAAGTACAATGACCGAACCTAAGAATAAGGATGAATTACATTCTTGGTTGGGTCTTATGAATTATTATTCTAGATTTATAAATGATTTTTCTAAATTAGCAGCTAATTTATATGATTTACTTAAAAGGGGTAATAAATTTTGTTGGGGAATCAATGAAAGAACTAGTTTACGAAATTAGAGAAAAATTGTGTAATGCACCAATTCTTGCACATTATGATAGAAATGAGGAATTGTTTATTTCAACGGATGCGTCCAATAAAGGCATGGGTGCAGTCTTATTTCAGGTAGAAGAAGATGGTTTAGAAAGGCCAATTGAGTTTATGTTTAAGGCATGGGCTGGAGCTGAAAAAGATATTCAATTATTGAAAAGGAAGGATTGTCTGTTGTTTTGGCAGTAAAAAAATGGAAAGAATATGTAGTAGGTAGGAGATTTAAAATTTTTTCGGACCATAAACCACTGGTGAATTTGTTTGGAGTAGATCCTGTTAAGCTTTACAATATGTCTCCAAGATTACAGAAATGGGCTTTGTGTTTAGCCGGTTTTAATTTTGACATTAATTATAGGAGGGGTAACGATCAAATCATTCCTGATGGATTATCAAGGTTAATTAAGGAAGATATCATTTGTTTTAATGTTAATAATGATATGAAGGATGTAAGAATAATCAACAATTTAGAAGTGATTAAAGGAGAAACCATTTTAGATTCAAAATTAATCCAAGTTAAAAAAATTGTGTTGGAAAAAGGTGAAAATGATATGCTGATTAAAGGTTACAAGGCATTCGGAAAGTTGTTGAATATTAAGAATGATTGTATTTTTAAGGGCGAACAAGTTATTATTCCTCAAAGGTTAAGAAAAAAGTTTCTTAGTGTGTTACATGAGGGACATATTGGGCTGTATAGGATGTTAGATACTATGGAAAGGTATATTTGGTGGCCAGGAGTCAATAAAGATATTAAAGAAATGATTTTTAGATGTAATATGTGCATGATCAATGCGCCTAAACACCCAAAAGTTAAACAAAATTATTGGGTACAACCTAACAAACCCAGGTCCGAGTCTATATTGATTTTTTTGGACCTATTAAAATTTTTTATGGATTAGTAATTATTGATGGGTACTCTCGCTGGTTAGAGATGATTAAGGTGAAAAACATTAATTCGACTACCACCATTATGGTATTAAATAATATTTTTTCCAGATTTGGGTATCCAGTAGAATTGGTATCAGATAATGGACCAGCTTTTAGGTCTGTTGATTTTAATAATTTTTTAAAAGAAAAGGGAATTCTACATATATATACTCCTGCATACCACCCTGCGTCAAATGTATGGCTGAAAAAGCTGTACGATCAGCAAAAAATATGATATATAAATTAGGAGGCTGGGATAACATTTTGGAAGATGTGTTGTTAAATTATCGCAACACGAAACATGCGGTTACTAAGTCATCACCTGCTTTTAGATTATTCGGAAGGGAGTTAAGATGGAAATGGAGTTTTTTAAAAGACGATGAATGTGATAATAGACCCAATGTAAAAAGAATCAGAGAAATAACATTAGGCAACTCTGTCTTTATCAAAGTGGGCTCCAATCAAGAATGGCGTGTGGGGATTGTCGTTGGGAGAATTAGTAACGTCATTTGGGAAATGCAGGTAGATGATAAGTTTCTCTTTGTTCATTTTGATCACGTTAGAAATTATCAATAGGAATATATTGCATTATATTTTTTTTACTTATATATTGTTGGTTACAAATATTAAAACATCATACATATTCCATTTTTCCTAGTTATTATAATTGTGACTATTAAGTTACATTGTTAATAATGACAATAATTCTCCCTTCCCAATTGTAATTGTTTATTATATTCCAAAATAAGGTAATAATGACAATTATTCCCCCTACCAAATGTAATTGTTTATTATATTCCAAAAAAAGGAAATAATGACAATAATTCCCCCTTCCCAATTGTAATGTTTATTATATTCCAAAAAAAGGAAATAATGACAATAATTCACCTTCCCAATTGTAATTGTTTATTATATTCCAATATAAGGAAATAATGACAATAATTCCCCCTTCCCAATTGTAGTTCCTACTATCCCCATATATATTATTTTTTATATAATTCCTTGTTAATCTTAATGTAAGTATTGGGTATTATTTTAATAATGAAACTATTATTGTAACATTAAATATTAACCCTATTACTCATTTAACATTATAAGAGTTACCTCCCGGATGCCAAACGAGTTCTTTCCTTCCCCATTTTTTGTACCATGTTGTGTTTTAAAGACTTAAGTTTTTTATATAGTTTTGTTTATATAATTCCGTTAATCTTTATGTAAGTATTGGGTATTATTTTAATAATGAACCCCTTATTGTAACATTAAATATTAACCCTATTACTCATTTAACATTATAAGAGTTCCGCATGCCAAACGAGTTCTTCCCTTCCTTCTTTTTTGTACCATGTTGTGTTTTCAAGACTTAAATTTTTTTTATATATATTTTTTTGGAGGTGGTGCATGTTGCATGTTCGCTTAATTTGTTGTAATTGTATATTTAAATATGTTCATATTATCTTTTTATTCAATGAAATTAACATGTACATAAATATATCTCAAGGTGATTAAACATATATATATATTGATATATATTTTCATTTTCTAATACAATTTATTTTCTTTTGTATAACCATATTATTAAATAAAAAGACCACTTGTTTAACCATATTATCAAATAAAAAGACCACATCACACACAATTTATTCTATAGTAATTATTCTTGTTCAATATTCCTCCTTAATTATGCAATACAATCACACACAATTTATTCTATAGTATTTATTCTTGTTCAATATTCCTCCTTAATTATGCAATACAATCACACACAATTTATTCTATAGTATTTATTCTTGTTCATTAGAAATATAAAATAAATATAATATTTTTTTTAAAAATCCGGGCCGGGCCTGAAAATTTTTTTTATTAGTAAGTAATGAATATTAATTTAGTAGTTTATTCAAAAATTATTTAATTCTAAAATAATCCAAGTCTTTGTCGTTCCATATACTAAGTTCTATGATATAATTTAGTAAAATTTAAAAAAAATAGATTTATATAAAATTTCATAAATATTACACCAACTCGATGGCAAAAAATATGGAATATTTTGTGCTAAATAGGTAAAGTTTTTTATTTTATTTTATTTTATTTATTCATTAATTAATATTGAATTTATGATTATATTTTTATTTTAGTATTACATAAATTACTAACATCTTAAATGTTCTATTATATGATATTCTAACTGATTGATTAATATTATATTGTATTTAATTTAATATTTAATTTAATAGGTAAAGAAATATAATATTAAAAATAGGTTTATTAATTGAATTTGGTTACAAAATTATGAAACCCAGCAATTTAAGAATTTAAGAAAAGAAAATCTATTTGGACGGGAAATTATATTATTGTTGCATATCCTTTGTGAACACAATCAAACATTTAAACAAAATTTAAAATTAATTTATTACACCCTTGAATCAGATTGCTTACCTGAAAATTTTATTGTAGTAGATAAAACTAAGTTGTTAAATTTCCATACATACTTGGAATCTTGGATACTATCGAATCCACATCATATGGCAGCATTAAACCTCTGGAGAAAAGATTCTCCAAGCCGCTCATATCCAAATTTAAGACAAAGAAACTGGAATTTACCATTGATACAGCATTGCGTTGTATACTTACACTTCAAAGCTGTTCAAAGAAAATCTCCATCGCTCTTTCTCCCCTTAAACCCAACCCCAAGTATATAGAATGACAACAAACTCTTTTGCTGGATCAAATAATTCTAGCCTCAGCCATATGTCATCTTGGCTACGAATGGTTAGAAACTATACCTAGTTCTAATTTAGGCTTGTTTATTTACCAACAAAGAATTTAGAATAGCTATAGTTCTTCGTTTTGTGAAATCGTAACGCCGACATCATGTGTCCCTTGTGAAACTCATATCGATAGCCTTAGACCCCCCCCATACTGTCGTTTTACAAAAGGCAAATATCCAGGCACTATGCCATCAATTTGATCATCTATAGAATCTTGAAATCTGCAAATATTCCTTCTACACTGGAACCCTCTGGCTTTAGCCCTGATAGAATAACGCTAGTTACTTTGAACCAAGGTACACCCCTCGCTTGGGTTTATATATGTGTAGATCGTTTTGCCAGATATTTTTATTTCAACTCTATCACGAAAGCTGAAAATACAAAAAAAATAAATATAGCCACCTCTCAGACACCTGTGGATCATTTGGACTCCAAGACTTAAAATTATTCAAAACAATAGGGTAAAAGTCATGTTTAATCACATGGGTCATTAAGCCCCGCCGACCAAACCAAAATACATTATTTTATTTAATTTCTCTTCTTTTAATTATATTTTTTTACATAGATATAGATATACTACTATAATTTTAATAAATAGTTATATTATTTTTAAAAAAACATATTAAAAATAAAATTAATTACTGGAATATATTATTTCGATTTATATATATTTTTTTTAAAGTAACTAGTTATTTTTGTCAGTTACATTTCAAAAAATATAAGTTAGAGTTATAGTTACAATTTTTAAAATATAACTAGTTGCAGTTATTTTTTAGCAAAAATGGTAACTAGTTACTTTAACAACACTAATAGAAAAGATATTGATCTTGGGGATACACCGAATAATTGCTAAAAAAAACAAACTCACGATCAAGGTTTCAAAAAATGAAGAATAGTTAATGAAATGTTCCCTTGCACTTTAACCTTAGTTATGCATCAATATACCCAGTTGGGAAATATTATAAATTAAAATTAAAACAACCATCGTCTTATTAGTAAAAAATAGAGTTAATCTTAATTAACGGTTTTACCTGATCAGGGAATTTCACAATGATATTCGTTTTAAAAAAAATATTGACTAAACTTTTTCCGACTAAGATACAAATATTGACCAGTGTATTTAGCTTTTTATTTTAAGATACACTTTTCCTTGCAAAATAATAAATTAAATCATGTTTTATCAATATCAATTTAAATTGCGGGTGAATTATTGTTGATAGAATATATTCAAATAGATGTGTTTGAATCTACTGAAAATAAAAGATAATCAAAATATAAATTGTAAGCAATATTTGAACTATTTTTATCTTCGCCTTCCAGGATTGAATTAATAAGTGGCTTACAAAACCTGAAATTATTTAAAGCTATTTTTTTAAGTTTTAATGTTATAATAGTTATCGTGGGAGTAAGATATCCCAAATGCATTTTTTCTTCGCTCTCTAAAACTGAAAGAGCCATAGCAATCGGTTCCATAACCTATAAAATTACATATATATATATATATATATATATATATATATATATATATCATATTTCTTAATTAACACTAAACCATACAATATTCACCGTGAACGACTTGTCGTTATTTAAAAATCTCTGTAATTCAGATTTATCACAAGATTCGTCAAATTTTTGGCAATTCTCTTTAATAAGACTATTTATTAATTTCACGGAATTATAAAAAGAGTTCCATTTTGATATAACCGGTTTAATCAGATATTTTCCTATGTTTTCCTTAAAAATTGAAGATTGCGCTTGTTTATTCCACAATAGCTTATACTTAAAAATGTAATTTTTGAAATGATTTGAAAATGGACATCCTTACCTGCCTTTTTAATGTCAACACTTGCAATGAGATTTAAAATGTGTGCTGAAGAGGAATGATGCTTAGGTAAGCATACAATACTATATTCAAATAGATCAAATAAGGAGCTATTTCTTCATCCGATACTCTAATAAATTTTTAATAAATATAATTTTTTTTACTTAAAAGCTTTTAAATAATTTCTAGCATTGTCGGTAATGC